GGATGACAGCCTGAACTACATTGAACAACCTGTGGCGATCCTCGAAAGGAAGTCAAAGGATATAAGGAATAAGAGGGTGGAGCTGGTGAAGGTACAATGGTAGCATCGCAAGGGCTTCAAATGGACTTGGGAGCCGGAGGACGAGATGAGGGAACACTACCCCGACCTTTTTCAGGACACAACAGCAGACTTCGAGGATGAAGTCTAAAATAAGTGGGGAAGATTTGTAACACCCGATTCCTGGTATGTATTTAAATTCAAGTAACTCCATGATTTTCTCTGGGACTTGGCGAGGTGGAGGCCTAAATTGTCGAGTAGACTCGACTTTGGATCGGAGGGTTAAGTGACCTACTCGACGAGTCGGGAGACCGACTCAGCGAGTAGGAATGTCTGAATGAAACCCTTATATTTGGGTTTGCACCCTATTTAAACAACTTATAGCACCACAAACTAGCCTCCATTGTCCCTCCCAACCCAGAGAAAACCCTAACTCGAAACCCTAGCCATTATTGTGTGTTCTTGAGCTTGTTGGTACCTTTTGTCTGTTTTAGAGGGTGGAAAGGAGGAAGGAAGCTTAGGAGTTCAAGTAGAAGCAAGAAGATCAATATGTTTTATTCCATTCTCAGCTCATTGAAGGTAAAAAGCTAGAACCATGACCATCTATCTCTTAGATTTTGATTTGGGGCTATTTCTACCCCTTTTTATGAGTTTAGAAATGCTAAAATCAGATTTTGTGGGTGTGCTTGGAGTTGCACTTCGGATCAGGAACTATTGGGGGTGCTTATGGCATAAAGGTTCCAACTTTGTTGCCATAAGCACCCCATCCATCTTGTAGACTTCTTTTATGGTCTTTTGAGTCAAAAACCCATGCATGGACATCAAGATTATGACTTTGCGTATGAAATGGACCATAGGAGTCCAGATGTATTGTTTTGATGCCTTAAGACCCGTTATAGCTGACTGGATAGTTTTGATCATAGAGGTACTCGACGGGTCTCTTAGGAGACTTTGCGATTCGGGTCTCTTTTTCTGAAAATGTCTTATGGAAGTGGTTTTGGTTGAGTGGAGGGGACACTCAACCTGTTAGGGGGTTTGTGTTAGACTTGAACACCAAAGGACCCGACGAGTTCAAGAACGAAGTCAGTGAGTTCAAGACAACGTCCCAACCACATGAAGATGGACTCGACGAGTTCAAGGAGAACTCGGCGAGTCATCGGCTAAACCCCTTCATATGGATGAAGATGAAATCGATGAGTACAATGATGAACTCAGCGAGTCGGTTGAAGATAGTTTGGTGTGTTGTTGAAAGTGACTTCATCGAGCTCTTGGTAGGCTCGATGAGTAGGGACGGGATTATGGCATTTTATGGATATGGGGACTTGACGAGTTGGAGGACTCACTCGAAGAGTCGAGTCAACCAGATGTTGACTTTGATCAGATGATTGACCGTTGACCAAGGTGTTGAACTTGACATTGTCTTGGACTGGAGTTGACCCTTGTAAGGGTTATGAGTATGAATTGATAAGTTAGAAAAGTTTTTGTGTAGGGATTGAGGATTTGAGGAGAGTTGGTTTTCATATGGAGATCGGTGTAGACACTACACAACTCTGAGGTGAGTATTCTCCTAGTAGGAGTGGGTGTACGGCCACAATGCCGACCCACAAGTAAGAGTATTGGACAGATGATTGTCTTTTTGGTGATTATCTAGTGTTGATATGAGATATGATTATTATGCCTGATATGTTTATTGTGCTTGATATGTTACTGTGCTTGATATGTGTTAGTAGTAGTAGGGGAGAAATAGTCCCTAATTACCGATTGAAAGATACCGAAAGGGAGGGTAGCTCCGAGTTACCAATTGAAAGATACTGAAGGGGAGGTTAGTTCCCGGTTACCAGTTGAAAGATACCGAGGAGGAGCCCAACTCCTGTATATGCCCGACAGTTACCGGTTAAAAGATACATAAGATTATGCATTTTTGTTTGGGTGTGATAGGGGAACTCACTAAGCTTTGTTCTTATGGTTTTTAGTTTTGGTTTCAGGTACCTCTTCATCTAAAGGGAAGGAGCCGGCAGGGTAGCAGCGCATCACACATTCACATATGATATTCTGCATTTGAGAAACCTGGGATTGTACTCTGATATTATACTATTTACTAATATGGTTTTGGGAATTGAGATCCGCGAGTTTATGTTGAAAGGATATCAATGCTGTTTTCCGTTAACTATTTTTACAAGTAATATTCTTTAAAACAAAAAAATTTGGGTCTCGATTTTGGGATTTTACAGAGATGCTCTATGGGAGGAAGTGTAGGACCCCAATATTTTGGGGGGAGGTTGGTCAGAGAGTCATGGGGAGTGCTGAGGTAGTACTCAAGATTACTGAGAGGATCCAGCATGTCCGAAGTAGGCATCAGACGGCTCAGAGTCGGCATAAAAGTTATTCCGACAAGTGTCATTCATACTTGGAGTTTCAGTTGGGCGACATGGTTCTCCTGAAGGTGTCACCTTGGAAAGGTGTCATCCGGTTTAGAAAGCGGGGAAGATTGGGCCCCAAGTACATCGGTCCGTTCAGGGTTTTGGCTCGAGTGGGTCGGGTTGCTTATCGTTTGGATCTTCTAGTAGAGCTTAGCTAGATCCATCATGTCTCCCATCTGTGGAAGTGCTTAGTGGATGGCTCCGTAGTTGTGCCATTAGAGCACATATAGGTTGATGACAGCCTGAACTACAACAAGAGACCGATAGCTATTATCAACAGAGAGACGAAAGAGCTGACGAACAAGAGGGTAGAGCTGATGAAGGTGCATTGGCAGCACCGCAAGAGCTCGGAGTGGACTAGGGAGCTAGAGGAGGAGATGAGAGAGAATTACCCAAAGTTATTTGAAGAAATAGACTTCAAGGATGAAGTCTAAGATAAGTGGGGGAGAGTTGTAACACCTGGTTCCTGGTACATAGTTAATTTAATAATCATTCAAATTATATGAGCAACTCAACAAGTTGGATGCCCCAAAATCGTTGAGTAAAGACTGTTTGGGCTTACGTGATTTTAGGAACCTACTCGACGAGTTGAGAGCCCCCAACTCTACAAATAGGCTGGCAGAGGTGAAACCCTAATTTCCAGGGTTTGCACCCTTTTTAATCATCTTAAACCCTGCATGTTGGCCTCATTCACCGCCTCCAAGTCGCAAACCCTAAATCTCGAAACCCTACTGATTTGTTTGAGTTTGTGAGCGATCAAGAGAGTTTTGTGCGTTTAAAGCTTGTGGAAGAAGAAGAAGCTTGAGGACCCAATAGGAAGCTTTTAGATCCATAAAATTCACCCCATTTACATCACTTTTTGGTAAGCTAGTCTCAAACTTGCTTAATGATTACTTAGATCTCTTCATTTTCACTTTTATTGGGTTTTGGTCCAAGTAGCATCGTCTTTGGGAAATAGAAATCCCAAGTGAATATACTTCTAGATCTAGGACCTTGAAGGGCTTTCATGGCATATAGGTGCAAACTTTATGGCTATTGATGCCCCATGCAAGCTTTAGGATGTCATTTGGGCCTTTTAAGCTCCAAAAGGCCATGTATGGGGAGAAACTCAGACTTTACGTGTTCTTGTAATGTCTAGGGTCTAGATCTCAGTTTGTATACCTTAGCTTGAAGTATTAATGAATTTTGGATCAAGATATAGGTCTTAAAGAGTTAGCGTTTGAGCTATATCCATTAAGGAAGGGTACTAACGAGTAAAGTTGGAAACTTTACCCTTAAAAAGGTCATTTTCAGTATGAATATGAAGTATGGAGCTTAGATCCGAAGGATATGAGATTCATCCATTAAGAAGCGCTTAGAAAACTACAGAACCCAACGAGTCATGAAGGAACTCGACGAGTTGGGACGATTTGTCCCGATCCTGTATAGGGCAGAACTCGATGAGTGGTGAGACTAAAAAGTCTTTAAGATCGATTAGATTCTTAACATTCAAACCAAGAATGTAAATTAAACAAGAACAAAGATGAATCAAATAGTTTTCGAATGATTCAAAAGCCACAACCTCAGAAGAACTCTATGAAGAATTGCTACTGTAGAGTGTAGTATGACAGAATCACTGGTATAATATGTAAAATGACAAAATCAACAGTTAACCTAATATGGTGCATGCATGCACCATATATATACTATAAACCTAATAATAAACGGCTGGACAGGCCCAAAACTGTATACATACTTGACTAATGCAAAAATACTAATGACGCAACACATAAATACTTAACAATCTTCCCCTTTGCATCAACGGAGAGTGTAGCCCGTCAGCCAGTGATTCGCTTCTGCACTTCGTAAATTTTTGGAATGAAGCTCAGTAGTAGCTTGCGAACATTGATGTACCATAAAATCATATCTGAAGAGCACTTGACATCATCCGAATGGTATCCCGTCAGCCAGTGATTCGCTCTGATACCAAATGATGAGACTAAAAAGTCTTTATGATCGATTAGATTCTTAACATGCAAACCAAGAAGGTAAATTAAACAAGAACACAAGATGAATCAAACTATTGTCGAATGGTTAAAAATCCACAACCTCAGAAGAACTCTATGAAGAATTGCTACTGTAGATGTGCGGTAGGGTTACAATAATGTATAGAATGACAGAATCAAACGTTAACCTAATACGGTGCATGCATGCACCAAATATATACTATAACCCTAATAATAAACGGTTGGATAGGCCTAAAACCGTATATATACTGGACTAATGCAAAAAGAACAATGACGCAACATATAAATACTTAACAATCTCCCCTTTGCATCAATGGAGAGTGTAGCTTGTCAGCCAGTGATTCGCTTCTGCACTTCATAGATTTTTGGAATGAAGCTCAGTAGTAACTTGCGAACATTGATGTACCAAAAAAGCATATCTGAAAAGCACTTGACATCATCTGGATGGTTACCCTAGAACTTAGTGATCAGGTCCAATATATATTCCAAGCAGGTAGTGTTGTAGAGATGTTTGTCTTCAAGATGGAAGTATGACTTGCAAAAGTGTGCTCACGTTCTTTCTCTGGATTGCTACACCACAAACCATCCTTCCTTGTATATCTTCCCTGGCTTTAACATCTCCAAGTCTTTCAGAGCTTCCTTGGGAACAACTGTTGGCTTCTTCTTCAAAAATGTGGCAATATCCATATCCATCAAACCAACTTCTTGAATATACGATCTGATCATAAGTTGAAGATGGGACATCAAAGGCTTGTACTAATCTTTCTCTCGCAACAACATGGTGTAGATAACGATCCAGACATTGGGATTCAAGTAATGCAGGTCTGCAAGAGTGAATTCGTAGGCCTGACATGTTGATCCTCTCGCAACCTTAAACTTTGCATTCGGAAAGCTTTAAGTTTCGATAGGCCCGGTAACCTTAATATCAACAATTTTGTGGGCACACCAGGTTTCATATTGGGGCTTCATGTACTTTAAGTAAAAAGAGAACATCATCTGATCAGCACTGCTATCTGTAAAAGGAGCATTCGCAACCTTCACAAATGCACAAAACCTGAATGCTTTTGGAGTAATTGGAAGATCAAGTTGTGAATCATGAGTATTTTGATGATCAAAAGATGCAACATGATCTAACCAATATTGACTTGGTAGCTCCACAACATCATGCTAAATTCTTCAAGGTCCACTTCGGAAATAATAACATTCTGCTCTTGAGAGTGGCGTGAGCTTCCCTTTCAGCCTTTTCTTTTTCTTCAGCCTCTTTGATGATTCTCTGAGTTTCATTAATTTCAGCGTCATGAGCCTTCCACCTTTTAAGTTCAGTTTCATCAGGCTCTTCATCTTCGTTGTCATTAATATCGGCTCTTATTCAATCAAATTTTCCTTGTCCATAGGTTCGTTCTTGATGATGGGCTTTGTAAGGATTTGTGAAGGTTGAACCTTTGATGCACCTTCTCACCCTTGTTTTTATTCAAAGATATGAGGAGACACACCCTGCAGCCCATATAACATTGCAAAAACAGGTCTTAACCTCTCAGCAAGGTGTTTTCGAACCGTAATGGAGATCATTAAGTCCCTGGTCTCAATGATATCAGAGAGCAGATTGGTAACATCAGTAACACAAGTTCGTACTGCTGCCTTCTCTGATAACAAATCATGGACCCGTTTCTCAGACTGTTGAAGTTTTGTATCTAACACCATCACTTTTTTAGTCGTCTTCACAAGGGCATCCATGATTTTATTTTCCAATGCCAAATCATCTTGAAGCGTTGTAATCTACGAAGTAAGAGATGTTTGGAATGATGCATGATTTTACTGCAGCCAAGTGCGAATCTTCTCCAGATTGAGCTTCTCATTCTTGAACATTGTCCCCAAATTATGAAGGGCTTCATTCAAAGAGGCGGTATTATTGTTGTAGGGTTTTCGATAAGTCTCCATGAAATTGGTCATTTTAGAAATTAGTTTATCGACTTTTTTCGATCGTGGATTTGCAGACTTCAGCAGATTTAGAAATTCCTGCATTCATCTTCTTGGCATTTTCTTCATGCTCCTTCTTTATTCTATCAAATAAGGATTCAATCATTTCTTTTGAATATGCATAAGAAGAAGAAGCCTTGGAGGCTAGCAACAGTTGATCAAGCTTCTCATTAATAGGCTTTAACTGGCGTTTCATAACTGGGCTTCATCTTCACTGTCAGTTTGAATCTGGAACGGACTATAAGTGAATCCGCCTAGATCATCTTCATCACCATCATCAAAATTCATATCCGGATCGTTAGTACGAACACAATAAATTGATAAAGAAACAGAGGTAGTGAACACTGAAGTTATGGCTCCCGTATCAGATACGTTGATCGTAACATCGGGAACCGTTGAAGAAATGGGATCGGTAGTTGAAGTGGTTAAGATTGGTGTTGAAATGGGAACTGATGTAGGTTGAGAGGAAATAATAGGTGGTGGACAAAGAGAAATAGTAATGGGAATGCATGATTTTGTTGTTGGAGAGAGAGGAGGAGAAGGAATTGAGTCATGAACATATTGATGTACCTTTTGATTCGTAGTATATTCTTCATTATGAACTGGAAGCTCTTGATGGTGAACTGTCTCTGCCTCTTCATTACTAACCGAGATTTCCTCCTGATTACGAATTGGTTGAGTTGTTTCAATATGAACGTCTAATTCAGTTTCAGAATATGAGTTTTCGCTTTCTGAGGGAGTAGGAGTCTTTTACTTATGAGCTGGTTGTTTCCTTCTTTTCAAAGCAGCCGTAGAAGATGGTGCAGGTCCCTTTCACTTTTTCGGGGAAAGTTTTGTAACATCATAGGGACCTTCAGAAGCACCAGCCTTCTTAACCATTTTCTTTAACCCCTTTCCGCCTTTCTTCAGTTTGTCGGCGGTATCAAGAACTACCTGCATCTATGGAGTAAGTGGCCTAAACCCAGATGGTGTAAGTTTGCGAAAGCCTTCCAAGAGTTTACTCGATGCAGGAACATCCTGAAACATAACTTCGGGGATAGATCCAATAAACGCAAACTTTGATGGACCAGCAACAATAATCCATGTTGTATGAAGGGTGGAAACTGTGAATGCGAGGGCATCCTACATTAGAGGAATATTGTGTTTGATAATGGCCATGCGAACTATTAGAGACCAAAATATTGCACATGATATCTTCGTATGACGAGACGAGGAGATAGTGCTTTGAACCACCTGAACCCACAGAACGACTCCATAATCGATGTTCATCCCTGTGTAGAGTCCATAGAGAATAGTCATGAATAAGTTACTTGTGCAGTCGGATCCGGTGATTCTTTCAGAAAAGCTTTTGAACAATATCGTGAATAAAGCATTCCATTGAGGAGAAAGATTTGGCTTACGGAATTTTGAAATTCTAGACAAACTCTCCTTGTATCCCATTTGATAGAACATCTCCAGGAGAGCAGTACTGGAGACTGTTTTAGGATTAACAATATCCACTGACTGTGGAAGCCCAAAAAGGGAACAAAATATGACTTTGGTGATGGAGGATTTTTGATCGTGAATGTCAAATATGATCTTGATGTATCTTGCAGAAGAATATGCCTTTAACAAAAGAGACATCGGAACATCCTCCATTTTGGTTAGAGCATGAACCAATGGGCAATACTTGAGACACTTGGTCATGTATAGAAGATACGGCTCATATTTACAACGATACAGATGGAGTACTCGTGTGACCAGTGTAGTTAGTTGAACGAGTAGGTTCGTTGTTATAGCAGTGACAGGATAATATTTTGGAATATCAAACAAATATAAAAAAAGGATCCTTTGGGAAGAAGTGACTTGGAGGAGAACACTTCATAAAGATATAAAAGTAACAGAGATTTCAAGGTACAAACGACGGCGTTCATCAATTCATAGGTGAAAAGCTAGAACTTGTAATTGTTCACCATCAATTCATGAAAGTGTGTTGGATTGTGGGTTTCACTTAGATCGTGGTATGCAAAGATAAGATCATCAACACAGATGTTTCGTAACCATAAACCTCAGTGGTAATTGCTAAGAGTCTTGAGGGTTACATTGATGAAAACGAAATTAATGGAGAAATAGAGACGTGGTTCCAGAGAAGGCGAATGTACCTCTGCTGTGATGGAGGAAAAAGCAGAAAACTCTTAACTCATTATGAGAAGACTAAGGTAGCTCATGACAAATGTGAATTTAATAGCCTTATGGGGAAGAAATGAATGGTAGATTCGATTCATTAAGGCTTCATATAGAGTCTAGTGAGGCTTCGAACAACATATAACAACTTGCTTCTAGGGACAACTTAGCTAATACATAGATTGTAAAGTTTATACCTAACCCATAAAGAGAATGAGAGTAGCTCTGGATTTATGTTGTCACGAGATTCGGACGAATGAAAAGTGAACGACGAACTCTTACGAGCATTCGCATTGATTTGAAGCAATAAGGAAAACAAGATGAACAGTTAACTGTGAGCGGCTGCGAACGTTTGTAATGGTTCGCAACCACTTCTTTATTAGTGTGAAGGTGGTTTTGGTACTGATTCAGCTTCCATCATTCCTAAGCCTTAGAGTATTCTATTAAAGGTTGCTTCACGCAAGGCTTTCGTGAACATGTCAGTCAATTGATCAGTGGAACGTACAAAATGAATTTCAACATTACCGTTTTCCAGATGATCCTTAATAAAGTCGTATGTCAGTGCTATGTGTTTTTTTTATGTGTTGCACAGGCTTGTGACGTATTCAAATTGCGCTTTCAGAGTCACAATAGAGTGGGATTCGCTTCATGTTTAGGTCATAGTCTCTTAACTGACTTTGAATCCAAATAACCTGTGAAACACAAGATACAGCGACTATATATTCAGCTTCGGCTGTGGACAAGGAGACACACGTTTGTTTCTTGGACTGCTAGCTGACGAGTTTGCCATCCAGAAATTGACAATCGCATGTGGTACTTTTTCTATCTAGACCAAATCCTCCAAGATCGGCATTTGAGATTGCTTGAACGAAAAATCCTGACCTCGCTGGGTACCAAATGACGAGAGATGAGGTTCGCTTTAGGTATCGGAAGATGTTCTTAAATGCCACCATGTGAGGTGCGCGTGGATTGGCTTGAAACCTGGCACGGTAACAAACATAAAACATAATATTTGGTCTAGTAGCTGTAAGATACATTAAAGACCCTATCATTTGGCAATAGAGCGTCATATCAGCAGCCAGTTTATCTAGAGATGGCATTATCTTTGTTCTGAATGCCATTGGAACCTTCACTTTATAGTCTCCCATCATTCCGAACTTTGCCAATAAAGTCTTTGTGTAAGCCTCCTGATTGATAAAAATTCCTTCTGGTCCCTGTCTAATATTTAACCCAAGGAAAAAGTTAATTAGACCCATTGAGCTCATCTCAAATTTAGTCTCCATCAACTTGCGAAACTCAGCTGTTAAGCTGGGATTCGTAGAACCAAATATGATGTCATCGACATAAATTTGGACTATCATTAGATGGTCACCCTCTTTCTTAGGGAAGAGTTTGGGTCAACTAAACCTTGTTTGAATTTAGACAATTTAAGAAAGCACGTTAGTGTTTCATACCAAGGTCTTGGCACTTTCTTTAGACCATAAAAGGATTTATCCAAAACGTAGCAATGATTGGGAAATATCTTGTTCATGAAACCTGGTGGTTGCTCGACATATAAAGTCTCTTCCATTTCACCATTTAAGAAACCACATTTGACATCCATTTGAAACACCTCAAGATTCTTGTGTGCTGCATATGCTAGAAAGATATGAACCGATTTTAGTCTCACAATGGGAGCGAAAGTTTCTTCATAGTCTATCCCTTATTCCTGAAAATATCCTTTCACCACAAGCCTCACTTTTTTCCTTATGATGTTGCCTTCTTTATCCATTTTGTTGCGAAACACCCGTTTTAGACCGATCACAGATGCATCCGGTGGTGTAGGAATCAATCTCCAAACCTTGTTTCATTCAAACTCATTAAGTTCCTCCTACATGGCTTGTACCCAATGAAAGTGATCGAGTGTAGTATTAACTGTTTTTTGTTATCTTTTGGAGACAAACGAATTAAACATGCAATATTCCACTTGAGAGAATAAAGCAGTTTGCTTAGCTTTCAGTTTAGAGGGTGTAAGAACTCCCACAGATGATTCACCAGTAACTTGAGTTCTTAGATGATCTTTAGTCCATTTTGTGAGAGGATGGTAGTTTAGATTATAGGCAAGATCCAGTTCAGCAATAACTTCCTCTTCGAATTCTTATTGAACATCCGAATCATCATTTGTATTATGATTCTCCCCCTCGAATGATGAGAATGTTGCAACATCCAGTTTAGAATTCTCCCCCTCAAGTGGACTTTCATGGGTCATGGTTGGAGATGGGTTTTCCCCCTGGAAAGGTGAATTTGATTTATTTTCTGTAGATGAACCCTCCCCCTGCAATGGAGTGCTTTCTTTTGATGGTTCGCCTGAGATTGGAGGTTTAGTTTCCATTTCTTTTGTGGCATCATCGATTATCTTCTTTATTTCATCGAATTTATTATCTGTTGCTTTTGCTTCATAGTTGATAGCCTTCTTTGGCTCATCAAAAAGTAACATATATTCCTCATATAGATCAGCTGTTAGGATTATGGGTAGACTTGTTGTTGGAAAGATGTCTCTCATTTGACTTTCTCTTGATGAATTCTTCTACAGATAATTATCATCAAATGTGACATAATAGGTTTCTTCTATTTTCTTTGATCGTTGGTTGAGAACCCTATATGCCTTGGAGGTCAACAAATAACCCAAAAAGATACCTTCATCTGCTTTTAGATCGACGTTGTTCAAGTTTTCTTTGGAATTAAAGATGAAACACCTGGAACCGAAGACATGGAAAAACTTAACGTTAGTTTTGCGATTATTTAAGATTTTATATGGATTAAGGTTAAATTACTTATTCAAGAGGGATCTATTTGGAATGTAGCAAGCAATGGTGATAGCATCAACCCATAAATATAGAGGTAAGTACATGAAACTGAGCAGGGTCCGAGCTGCTTCACGCAAGGAAAGGTTTCTCCTTTCAACTATGCCATTCTACTATTGAGTATAGGGAGCCAAAAAGTTGTGAGTTACTCCCTTTTCAGATAAGAATTCTTCAAACTCATTGTTTTTGAATTTCAGCCCATTATTGCTTCTGATGTTGCAGACCAGCTTTCGTAACTGAACTTCCACTTGCTTTATAAAGATCTTTAGCTTTGGAGTAGCCTCTGATTTATGTTTAGGAAAATACACCCGCATAAAATGTGAAAAATCATTAACAATTACTAGTATGTATTTACTACCACCAATACTTTCAATTGTGGAAGGTCCACAAAGGTCTATATATAGAAGTTCAAGAGGTTCGATGATGTTCGTTTTTACACGAGTTGGAGGACTTTTTCTACTTTGATTTCCCATTTCACATGCAGCACAAAGATTATATTTGTCAAACTTTAAGAGAAGAAGCCCTCACACATGATCACCAAGAATAAGCTTGTTGATGTCTTTGAAGTTGAGATGCGAAAGTCTTCTGTGCTATAGCCAGCTATCATCATAATGAGCTTTCGTTAGCAAGCATATAGCAGGCTTCCCTCTTATCAAGTTTAACTTTAAGGGATACATTTCCCTTTATCGTTGCGACTTCAGTAGAACTGCTTTCTCTTCTTTATTATCTCATATCCTTTGTTGTCAAAGGATACCTTCAGTCCAATCCCCACAACTAATTGTGAAACACTAATCAGATTGTGTTGTAATCCTTCCACATAAGCCACCTTTTGGATTAAAAAATCTCAATTAGTGATCATCCCATTACCCTTTATCGTTATAAAGGAATTATTTCCACATTTGACGCACCCACCATCTTTAAGAGCCTGAAACT